TTATGCCGATGTTGTCGCCAGGGCCCATGAGACAGATGCCAGTCTCAGAATGGATCAAGTACACCGGTCAGTTCAGCCTCCAGTGTTGCCCCCAATTCAGTATCCGGCATTGCCCCCGGCTCAGCCAGCGCCTGTCCAGCAGGCGAAGCTTAATAACAAGAGGAAGTGGAAGGTTCAGCAGAATGACCGGAGGACAGGCAGAGCCAGCCACAGATCCCACCATGTGGCACCTGCGGACGCCCGCACCGTGGAGACTGTCTTGCCGGACAGAATTTTTGCTACAACTGTCGGAGGCCCAGACATACCATCCAGAATTGTCAAGATAGACAGGAGCAGCAGCAGCCGCCCCGACAGCAGCAGCAGCAGCAGAGGCGAGGACAACAGGCATAAGTTTATGCAGTTGAGCAGGCTGAGGCAGAGCAGAACCAAGGTACTATGTCTGGGATGATTATTTTGAATGATGTGCCTATATTTGCCCTGCTGGACACTGGTGTGACGCACTCGTTTGTGTCAACCCGATGTGTAGAGGCCATTGGAGTTCAGCCCATCAACACTGTCGACCCTCTCGAGGTGAGCCTAGCCTCGGGAAGGAAGATAGTGACGAGCTCAAAGGCAGAGGACCTTAACCTTAGTATTGGCGGCCGAATCTTGAAGGCCGAAGCTTATGTTATCGAGATAAGGGATTTCGACCTCATTCTCGGTATTGATTGGTTGACGCGTTATCGAGCGGATATTCGTTGCCACGACCGGGAGGTTGTTCTTCATCTTCCGAAGGACAGTTAGATCACGTTTTTTGGCTCAAAGACGCGAAACCTACCTCGTTTCAATTCGATGGCGAAGGCGAGGAAGATTCTGCACAGAGGAGATTGTCAGGGTTACCTGATGAGCCTTGTTGAAGAAGGATCAAGAGCACAGACACCTTATGACTCATCAGGGTTACCTGATGAGTCAGTTTTGGTTCGTGATTTTCGGTCCGAGTCATATTCCAAAATTTAAGTATTTTTCCAAGCCAAACCAGTCCAGTTGAGTTTATCAGTCTAATTTCCGAACTTAGAGTTATTTTAGCGAACCCTTAAAGAGTTTTTATATCCGGAAGAGTAATCTGATAGAGTAGAGCATCCTAGCATATTATTGACCATATGACGAGCATAGTACTTTGTATATTTGTTTGCTTATATTTTTATGTAGCTTGAGGAGTCAGCTACCAGTACAGCCGCACTTACGAATTTTCAAAGCAAACCAGGTGGGGACCCAGTCTGGGTTATACATTGAGTATAATAGTCGATATCATGTTCAGGTATGTATATGAGTTTTATCCGCTTGGGGTCGAGGTCGAGTTGCCCTCCCCTAAGTTCTGGTGGTGGCCCTGTTCGCCTTAAATATACCATCAGAGTGTGCACACGGTACCGGCCAGAGAGTCCGGGAGTTACCGGCCAGAGTGTCCGGGAGATTACAGTTACCGGCCATAGTATCCAGGAGATTTCAGTTTAACTATGCATACTAGTACTGTGATATCATTATTATTATTGTTGTTTACACTAGCCTGGGTTTTTATAGAGTACAAGAGGACCAGTACTCACCCCCATTATGTTTTTCAGATGACAGGGTCAGCGGGCAAGCGTGAGGGCAGTTGTGGTGGTTGTGGTCGTGGATTTTGCGCAGCGAGCCGTTCCAGGGACATTTGTTTACTATGTTTTGTATAACTATTATAACCATGCATTTTCAGACTTCCGCTATGTTTGCTTTTATTTCGAACTTGCATGACCGTATTTCCAGACGTAAAGGTTTTACCCGGTTCGCCCGGTTCGCCAGTACGGACGGGGCTAGTTTTATATGCTTGATTCGATAAAACATTTAATCTGATTTTCTTTAAGTCTAAACCAGTAGATAGACCCAGTTTAAAGAAAACGGATTTTTAAAGCAGATAAGTTTTTAGCGACATCCCGAGATAGTTTGCAAACGATTTCGAAAAATTTATAAGCATTTTTGAAAGGTAAATTTGCCAAAAATTGGCCCTAAGTAGCGGGGTGTTGCAACTCATGACGAGTTGAGATCACTATGGACGACTTAGAGACCTTCAGTTAGGTGGAAGAGCGACTTTCGTGACTTATATACAACTAAGTGAGACTTATATGCAATCATCGCTAGAGAGGCCTAGCTCTAAATCCAAAGGAGTCACTAGTCTATAAGAGAGAATGACTTAAGTTTCTAAAACAGCTACGAAGCTGAAGACGACTACGAAGTCGATCATCTCAAAATCCTCCATGACTAAGGCTTTTGGAAAGCTGGGTGGTCAATTGTTTTGAACAATCCTAGACTTGAGTTGGGCAAGTGTTTGAAGTCAAAATCCACCATGACTAAGGCTTTTGAAAAGCTGGGTGGTCACTTGTTTTGAACAATCCTAGACTTGCGTTGGGCAAGTGTTTGAAATCATCATCTCAAAGTCCACCATGACTAAGTCTTTTGAAAAGCTGGGTGGTCACCTGTTTTGAACAATCCTAGACTTGGGTTGGGCAAGTGTTTGAAATCATCATCTCAAAATCCACCATGACTAAGGCTTTTGAAAAGCTGGATGGTCACTTGTTTTGAACAATCCTAGACGTGGGTTGGGCAAGTGTTTGAAATCAAACTCCACCAAGACTAAGGCTTTTGAAAAGCTGGGTGGTCACTTGTTTTGAACAATCCTAGACTTGGGTTGGGCAAGTGTTTAAAATCAAACTCCAGTTGTCACTTGTTTTGAACAATCCTAGACTTGGGTTAGGCAAGTGTTTAAAATCAAACTCCACCATGACTAAGGCTTTTCAAGAGCTGGGTGGTCACTTGTTTTGAACAATCCTAGACTTGGGTTGGGCGAGTGCTCGAAATCAAAATCCACCATGATTAAGGCTTTTGAGGAGCTGGGTGGTCTCCAACGTTGGAACAGCTCGCAAGCATGGTTAGACGAGATCATGAATTGAAAATTTTTCTAAGTTAAAACTACTCTACGTTGCCTAGAGTTGCTCGCTGATTACAACTTTGAACAACTCGTAAGCTGGGTTAGGCGAGGATAGTGTTGAGGATAAAAAGCAGAATGGGAGATTTGATTGCAAAAAGGAACTAACATGAGCTAGAAGCTCATCTCGACCTGCTAGACTTGCTAGAGGTCGTCTCGACTTAACAAGATATGAGCAAGAGCTCATCTAGACTTGACAGAGGAAGAGCTAGAAGCTCATCTCGACCTGCTAGACTTGCTAGAGGTCGTCTCGACTTAACAAGATATGAGCAAGAGCTCATCTAGACTTGACAGAGAAGGAGCTAGAGGCTCATCTTGACCTGCTAGACTTGCTAGAGGTCGTCTCGACTTAACAAGATAGGAGTAAGAGCTCGTCTAGACTTGACAGAAGAGGAGCTAGAAGCTCATCTCGACCTGCTGGACTTGCTAGAGGTCGTCTCGACCTAACAAGAGAGAAGCAAGAACTCGTCTCGACTTGATAGTGGAGGTGCTAGAGGTCGTCTCGACTTAACAAGATAGGAGCATGAGCTCATCTAGACTTGACAGAGGAGGAGCTAGAAGCTCATCTCGACCTGCTAGACTTGCTAGAGGTCATCTCGACTTAATAAGATAGGAGCAAGAGCTCGTCTAGACTTGACAGAAGAAGAGCTAGAAGCTCATCTCGACCTGCTAGACTTGCTAGAGATCGTCTCGACCTAACAAGAGAGGAGCAAGAGCTCGTCTCGACTTGATAGTGGAGGTGCTAGAGGTCATATCGACCTAGCAAAGTAGTAGGCACAACTTAATGGTCATGGCAACTACTTGATTGAAAAACAGATGGTCTTCACGACCTAACAACTCTTTGTTGAAGATATCTAGCAGAAATAAGTAACACCTCACAACCAAGCATACAAGCATAGAGCAAAACACAAGTGCAAATACATATGCGTCATCGCAACCTCGAGCAAAAGGAAGAGTAAAAATATTATGGTCTTCGCGACCAGCAACAGCAATCATACATGAGCAATTGTTTATACGGTCATCTACACCTTACATAACTTCAAAAATAATCGAATTACGAGCTATGGGAATTACAATGTTTCTCTAGCTATCTTTACTTAATATTTTCAAGAAGTTACTATAGCTACTTCGCACTGGAATGCCTACTAATCAATAAACTGGGAGTCGTTGCAAACTGCAAGTTGCAAACTATTTACATATGGAGAGCTATATGAAACTACGGGCTGCGAGCTGCAACAAAATCCTCTAGCGGGGTATGGTATTATTCGATCTGCGAGCCGTTACAAAAGCCTTGAGCAGGCTATGGCGAAATTTGAGACGCTACCCATCACTGCAATTAGAGGTGCGAGCAAATTGAAGCTAATCAATGATGCAGCAAAAAACAAAAAATATATGTATCAAGAGCAAATATGACAAAACAGTACAGGAGCCTAACATATCACGAGCAGGAGTACCGAAAAAGGAAAAAAATTCACTACTAACCTTTCGGAGATTAACACAGCTCGGCTGATGCCTCACAACTAACAGGCTTGGACCAACACCTCGCAAATCGATTAAACCGAGGCCTCAATGAGTCCCAGTAGAAGAATCGTAACCCGCCTCTAATTAAGCACAAAACGCGACCAAAAGAAAACACACTCGTGGCTGACACATCGCGATTAGCAGATCGCGATCAACACATTGCGAATCGGAGTAAAATAACCACTAACACATCGTGAGTCTAAAAGATTCGCGATTAGCTCGTGAGGGGGAAATCTCGAGCCAGGAGAAAATCGAGAATAGCACACCAATGGGCGCCGACAAATCGCGACCCAAAAATGAAATCGTGACGGGAACACCACAGGATGATGAGAAATAGTGACTAACCCGTTAGGTACAAATCAGGACTAGTGTGTCATGAGCAATACATCACGAATTCGGCGCGAGCCATGACCGACATCGCTAAATGCGACTAAGACACCGCGAATTGGGGGAAAATGGTGAGCAGTAACAAATCTCGAATTGTGCGATGAGAATCAGGGAAAAATCGCAATCGCGAGTCGACAAGAAGTCCGTGAGTGAAATCGCAAGCGCGAGCTGGAAAAAATTCGTGACTGAAATTGCGAGATCGAGAACTAGAAAAATTGCGAGAAAGAAATCACGAGAAGAGAATCGCGAGGGGAAGAAAGCGAAATTGGAAAACATGTAAAATCGAAAGTCGAGAAGGAAATTCGCAAGTCGAGAAGGAAATCTGGGGAAGAACTGGTGTGAACTTGGAGACGATTCTCAAAGAACTCGACATAAAGAGTCAAAGACTAATTGTGAAGACGAGGAGAAAGAAAAGCGGTGTTGAGCATTTGAGTTGGGCTTAATGAGTTGGGCCCATGGAAACTAATAATTTTGACTAATCCGACATGTGGAAACAAGATACATGCTAAAGCATAGCAATTTCGAGTCCTCGAGTTAGAAAAACCAACAAATAAAAAATACACAGAATTACGACGGGACGAAGACGTCCATTCAAATACTGCAAACTCTGATCAATGCTAGAATTCCCAGGCTATTGACCTTACTCTACAGCTTGAGTCGCTGTAGAGTAAGTTTTGGGGGGACCTAGATGATATAGCCATACTTGTGAACCGGAGTTAAGTATGAAGAGGTCCGAGCGAAACCGAGGAAGAGCAGCCTGAGGAGGTCTAGACGAGACTTGAAGGTCTCGTGACTGAGTATGAGAAGCTCCACACGACTAAGTATGGGAAGTAGACTTGAAGGTCTCGGTGACTGAGTATGAGAAGCTCCACACGACTAAGTATGGGAAGTAGACATGCTCTCTGTGACTGAGTATGAGAAGCTCCACACAACTAAGTATGGGAAATAGACTTGAAGTTCTCGGTTACTTAGCATGAGAAGCTCCACACGACTAAGTATGGGAAGTAGACATGCTCTCTGTGACTGAGTATGAGAAGCTCCACACGACTAAGTATGAGAAGTAGACTTGAAGGTCTCGGTGACTGAGTATGAGAAGCTCCACACGACTAAGTATGGGAAGTAGACATGCTCTCTGTGACTGAGTATGAGAAGCTCCACACAACTAAGTATGGGAAATAGACTTGAAGTTCTCGGTTACTTAGCATGAGAAGCTCCACACGACTAAGTATGGGAAGTAGACATGCTCTCTGTGACTGAGTATGAGAAGCTCCACACGACTAAGTATGAGAAGTAGACATGCTCTCTGTGACTGAGTATGAGAAGGTCGAGCTGCTCTAAGAAGATAAGTAGAGGTCATTTCGACTTGCTAGACTTGCGAGAGGTCAACTCGACCTACTAGACTTGCGAGAGGTCATCTCGACCTGCTAGACTTTCCAGAGGTCATCTCGACTTGCAAGACTCATCTCGACCTGCTAGACTTGCCAGAGGTCATCTCGACTTGCTAGACTCGTCTCGACCTACTAGACCTCCGCTACTAGACGTCTTCTCTACTAGACGTCTCCGTGACTAGAGGTCTCCGCTACTAGACCTCTCCGCTACTAGACGTCTTCTCTACTAGACATCTCTGTGACTAGAGGTCTCCGCTACTAGACGTCTCCGTGACTAGAGGTCTTCGCTACTAGACGTCTTCTCTACTAGACGTCTCCGTGACTAGAGGTCTCCGCTACTAGACCTCTCCGCTACTAGACGTCTCCGTGACTAGAGGTCTCCGCTACTAGACGTCTCCGTGACTTGAGGTCTTCTTGAAAAGAGGTCTCCGCTACTAGACCTCCGCTACTAGACGTTTCCGTGACTAGAGGTCTCTGGTACTAGACCTCTCCACTACTGGACATCTCTGTGACTACAAGAGCATGATCTAGAGGCAGTAATTGGATAATAAAGAATCTTTAGCTGACTAGGAGGTAGATGAAATGCGAACCGTCCAGGGTATTTTGAACACTTCAGGTAAACCGACCGGGGCATTTTGGGTACTTCAAACATGTAGTTCCCTCTATATAAAGGGGCTGAGGTAACCCTAAACCTTAACCTCTACTCATTCTATACACTTTCCATCTCTCTGCTGCTGCTGCTCTCTGAAAGCAGCTCTCTCCCCTGCATTCTATGCATTTCTACATGCATTACAGCTCTACATCACAGAGCTTCATCTTCCTCTCCTCTGTTTACTGACTTGAGCGTCGGAGGCCCGACGCTGGGACCTCTCCCGGCGTTGGGTTCTTGCAGGTGTTTGCGGCGGTCTAGCAACGATTTGAAGGCAGTTCAAAAAGATTGAAGCTCACAACAACCGGTTTACTCCAGATCTAGAAGTAGACCCATCATAGACCAAACGGCATAACCACGAACTCATAGTGTCCATATCTCGTCCGGAAAGCGGTCATGGCTACGTTGGACTCCTTAATCTTCAGCTGATGATAGCCTGAGCGTAAATCGATCTTGGAAAATACGCAAGCTCCTCTCAGATGGTCAAACAAGTCGTCTATCCTGGGGAGCGGATAATTATTCTTCACCGTTAACCGATTGAGATCCCGGTAATCGATGCATATTCTCATGGATCCGTCTTTCTTCTTGACTAATAGGACGGGTGCTCCCCAAGGTGAGACGCTCGGTCAGATGAAACCGAGTTTCAACAACTCCTCGATCTGCCTTTTCAACTCCTGCAACTCCTTCGGAGCCATTCTGTAGGGTGCCTTTGACACCGGTCCTGCTCCTGGCACGAGATCAATGGTGAACTCTACCTGTCTGCTGGGTGGTCCTCCTGGTAGTTGATCCGGGAACACATCCACAAACTCACGAACAACAGGAATGTCATGAGGTGTCTGTGCTCTCGACCCTTCTTCAACAAGGCTCACCAAGTAACCCTGACAATTTCCTCTGCGCAGAATCTTCCTCGCCTTCGCCATCGAAACGACACGAGGTAGGGTTCGCGTCTTCGAGCCGAAAAACGTGATCTGACTGTCTTTTGGGAGATGAAGAATAACCTCCTAATCATGGAAACGAATATCAACTCGATAATGCGTCAACCAATCCATTGCGAAAATGAGGTCGAAATCTCTCATCTCGATAACATAGGCTTCGGCCTTCAAAATTCGGCCGCCAATACTAAGGTTAAGGTCCTCTGCCTTGGAGCTCGTCACTATCTTCCTTCCTGAGGCTAGGCTCACCCCAAGAGGGTCGACAATGTTAATGGGCTGAACTCCAATGGCCTCTGTGCATCGAGTTGACACAAACGAGTGCGTCGCACCAGTGTCGAACAGGCAAATTATAAGCATATCATTCAAAATAATCATCCCATACATAGTACCTGGGTTCTGCTCTGCCTCGGCCTGCTCGACGGCGTAAACCTATGCCTGTTGTCCTCGCCTCTGCTGCTGCTGCTGCTGTTGTCGGGCTGCTGCGGTGGCTGCTGCTGCTGCTGCCTATCCGGGCAGTTTCGGATGCTATATCCGGGCCTCCGATAGTTGTAAGAAAATGTCCTGTCCAACAAGACACTCTCCGCGGTGTGGGCATCCGCAGGTGCCACATGGTGGGATCTGTGGTTGTCTCTGCCTGTTCCTCAGGTCATTCTGCTAACCCTTCCACTTCCTCTTATTCTTAGGCTTTGCCTGCTGGGCAGGCGCTGGCTGAGCCGGGGGCAACACTGGAGGCTGTACTGACGGCTGTACCAGGTCCATCCTGAGACTGGCTTCTGTCTCCTGGGCCTTGGCGACAACATCAGCGTAAGACTGAACGCCATGTCCCGCTATGTGGTGACGGATCGCTGGCAGCAATCCATCACGGAAGCGTCTCGCCCTCTTCGCCTCGGTGTCCACCAAATAGGGAAAGAAGGACCCGAGACGGATGAACTCTCGCTCATACTCGTCCACTGAACGGTTGCCCTGCTTGAGCGCCAAGAACTGACGCTCCATCTCGGCCTTGTAGGTATCGGGGTAATACTTGTCCCTCAGCATCTCCTTCAAATGCGGCCAGGTGAGGTTCTCCTTCTCACCAGGGCGCATGCCTCAGTAAGAGTTCCACCATAGCCTGGCGTCTCCAGTCATCTGAACTTGGGCACACAGGATGCTGTGCCTCTATGAGCACTCGATGATCTCGAAAATAGCCTCGAAACCCTGGATCCACTCGTCAACTAGGCGAGGATCTCCCTGCCCCATAAACTTGTCGGGGTTGTAGCCGCGGAACTGGGCGACTACCTCTGCCTGAGTCATCTCCCGCTGAGCCTGATTCGGACGGTGTGCCATCTGAATAATAAACCGCAATACTCGATCAGAACGGGAGATGAAATTGAATAAGGCTTAAAGGAAACGCTGAATACTGAAATAGGCACAAATTTCTTGACGAGTTGCTAACTCAGAAATCTAGAGTTCAAACTAGAGTTCGAACTAGAGTTCTGACTAGAGTTCTGAATACTGATAGGAGATAGATCTGATACTGCTAGGAGCCTTATACTGGTTTGAGCATCTAGAGTTCGGATTATCTGAATCCTATTGAGCATAGACTTAGTACAGTTTGCTTACATAAACTTTGAAAAATTTTAACAGCACTTACCTGGTTGTCGGTGGGGCGTGAGTGTGGTGTGGTTTAGTTTTTCTGAAATTTCCTGTCTCATTAAAACGTTCAGAAGCACAAAAGGTGCTTTGATACCAGCTGCAACACCCCGCTACTTTAGGGCCAATTTTCCACAAATTTTACTCTCGAAAATGCTTATAAATTTTTCGAAATCATTCGCAAGCTATCTCGGGATGCTGCTAAAAACTTATCTAATTTAGAAATTCGTTTTCTTTAAACTAGGTCTATCATCTGGTTTAGACTTAAAGAAAATCAGATTAATATTTTATCGAATCAAGCATGTAAAATTGGACCCGTTCGTATGAGCGAACCGAGTAAAACTTAAAATCTGGTAATACTGTCATGCAAGTTCGAAATTGAAAATAAACATAGCGGAAGTCTGAAAATGTGTGGTTATAATAGTTATACAGACATAGGTAAACAAATGTCCCTGGAACGGCTCGCTGTGCCAAATCCACGACCACAATCACAACAACTTCCCTCACGCTTTGTCATCTGAAAAACATAATGGGGGTGAGTATTGGTCCTCTTGTACTCCATAAAAACCCAGGCTACGTAAACAGCAATAATAATAATTATATCACAGTACAGGTATATACAAGTAAACTTAAATCTCCGGGAACACTATGGCCGGTAACTCCTGGAACACTCTGGCCGATAACCGTGTGCACACTCTTGTGGTATATTTAAGGCGAACTGGACCACCACCAGAACTTAGGCAAGGGCAAAGTCAACCTCGACCCTAAGCCGATAAACTCATATACATACCTGAACATGATCTCGACTATTATACTCAATGTGATACCCAGACTGAGTCCCCACC